GCACAGCCTTGATCTTTTAGATAAAGCTGCTCATTTCTTTTTTGTAGAGTATGTATGTAGAGGTAGACAGTGAGGCCCACTTTAAAGAAATAGTTCACAAAAAAAAAAAACATGTAAATTTGCTGCACATGTACTCATCCTCAGACCATGAGTTTGTTTGTTCATCAGGTTTGGAGAAATGTAGCATTGCATCAGTGTCTCAGCAATGGATGTGAATGGGTGCCGTCAGAATGAGAGTCTGATAAAAACATCACAATAATCCACAAGTAATCCACAGCACTCCAGTCCATCAGTTAACATCTGGAGAACACAAAAGCTGAAACTAATCCAGCATTAAGACATTTTTAACTCAAATAAGAGTCCATAATCCATAATAATGCTTCCTCCAGTGAAAAAGTCCATCTCCTGTTGAATCCAGTCATCAAAACGGAATTTACTGTATAACGCGGAATTTGTCAAATTTTGGATGGATAAATCAAAAGTAGGACAGATGCCATTTAAATATGAATCCTGCGTGTGTCTGTGTAAATGAATAGCACAGAAGCGCGTTTTCGTTTACTACACACACACTGAATCGCATGTGACGCTCGCGGTGCTTTTAGCCTCTGCCACCTCAATACATGAACACACGAACATAACCTCTAGAACTGCTCTAAGAGTCTCAACAGGAACATTTGGCCCTTTCTTTTGAGTAAAACTGTCATATCCATAGACTGTAAAAAAACATATCATATACAAATAGAAACCTAAAGGTCTTAACAGCAACCTGTCAAAATAAAAGTTCGGTTTCACTTGAGGAAACCGTGAAAGAAATAGGCCTATTACTTAATGTAATGTTACTACTACTACTAATAAAATTATTATTAAAACATTGTTTGTAAAGAAATATTTACCAGAAAAATGTAAATACACAACACAGTATTTCTGGGAGAAAATAAATAAATAAAATCGATTAATTAGAGATGCTTTTCATTAATAATATTTTATGAAACCATTCAAATGGAATCCAGAAAATTAATGGAAAACAGAATTTGGTTTAGAAAAAATAAAACATATCTCATTGGGCCTTAAATTTTTTTTTAATAAATTGCTATTTAATATTGTAAGTTTCATATTTTAAATTAATCAGACATGCTTTTTGATTAATACAATTTCATTTAACCATTAAAACAGCAGAGTCTAGAAACATTAAAACGAGAAAAAAAATCGGAATCCAGAAAAATGAAAATGGACAAAAAAGAATTTGGGAAAAAACAAAACGGATTTCATAGGGCCCTAAAATCTGCATGTTTGTAAGAAACAAATCCATCAAGACGTCCATAATCCATAATAACGCTTCCTCCAGTGAAAAAGTGTTCTGGTGTGAATCAGGAGAGAAATCTGCACAGATCAAGCAGCGTTTAAACCGCTCTAAACAAATATGTGGCTGGATTTTGATGTGAGAGACAACAGCAGATGCACTTTATCACTGGAGGAAGCGTTATTATGGATTCATAAAAACGTCTTAATGCTGGATTAGTTTCAGTTTTTGTCTTCTCCAGATGTTAACTGATGGACTGGAGTGCTGTGGATTACTTGTGGATTATTGTGATGTTTTTATCAGCTGTTTGGATTCTCATTCTGACGGCACCCATTCACATCCATTGCTGAGCAAGTGACGCAATGCTGCATTACATTACATGTTTTTATCCAAAAAAAAAGTACATTTCGTACTTGGTGGTCAACTGTCATCACTATTTGCAATATCTCCTTCTGCTTTTAGTTTATTGGCCAAAAGCGGTGGTTCTTTTGAGGAGTTTGTCTTGGCCACATTAAAATCAACATGAAACGGCATTTACAACCCATTTTACTTCCGTAATGTGACATGTTTCATTTCATAATATTTGATGATAAACACGTGGCGCAGGCCTTCATTTCATCCATCAGGAACTGATTAGATGGTGAAGGGGTCTTTATATGATTGGAAAATAAAAGGGATCGATTACAGTACGTGAGCTAAAACTTGGAGGAAGTGGAGAAAAATATTATTTCGATGAACGATTACGAAGAAAAACATGATGAACATACTCAAATGAATCTCTGTGTGTCTGAATATTATAGAAACATTTCCCATATTAGTTGACATAATGGGCGTCGTGCCCGGATAGAAAACCTCGCCAAGTTTACAAATGTGCTTTACTGCGCGCTACAGCAAAATCTGATCGGACAAATCCCAGCATCAGGGTGGTTACCCCCACAGATGGAGTTTGTTTTTGTTCTCAATGAGTAATTTTTAACTCAATTTTTCATATATTCTCTCAATGGGAAGTCATGAATAAATAACTGATCTCTTGACTTTCTCCTTGTGTTTGTTCATTGCCGTGTCTCCACTTGACTGGAGCGTGATTATTGATTAATTTAACCCTGCTGCATCACACACACATTCGACCAAACATTTCCCCAACATCTGTCCAGCAGAATGCATTAAAGGATTAGTTCACCTAAAAATGAAAATTAGTCCATAAATTACTCACCCTCAAGTCGACCTCATACGTCATCCTCCCGGAGCTGCTTCCGTTTACAACAGTGAGCGCAAGCTAGATTCAAGTGATTATTACGTTTTGAATATGGATATTTTTCTTACAAAAACACATCGATTCGCTACAGGAGGCCTTTGTTCACCCCCCGGAGCCGTGTGAGACACTTTTTTTATGGATGGGCGCTTTTTATTTCACTTCTTTTGGACTGATGCATGCAACACCCGCTGAGTGCCATTAAACAGCTTGAAAGATCAAAGACAATTTTTAATATAACTCCAACTGGATTCGTCTGAAAGAAGAAGTCATGTACACCTAGGATGCCTCGGGGGTGAGTAATTTATGGGCTAATTTTCATTTTTAGGTGAACTAACCCTTTAAATGGCTTTATCCTCTTTGGAGTTTTAATTAATTAATTTTTTCTTTCAATTTGTTTGGCTGTTTTATAGGACACGGTTAGTTCACATAAACATGAAATTCGTTCACTTTTCTCTAATGCTTCTAATTATTGATGTAACATAATAATTATGCTGAAAAGAACCGATGTAGGATTTAAAACTATTTTCATTTAGAATTACTCATAAATTTAGGCCAATAATTACAAAGAAAGGGCAAGTAACACATTGAGTTAAACATGAAATTTTGATGTAGAAAGTCTGAAGTAAAACATACTCTAATAATCTTCTTTTTTTTTTTTAGTTACAACAACTCTGAAATTTACATTTGACATTTATTCATTTAGCAGACTCTTTTATCCAAAGCGACTTACAATTGGGGAATACATCAAGTGATTCATCTTAAAGAGGCAAATAGACAGTAAGTGCTCGTCATACCAACTTTCAAGCAGTGTTCAAATAAGTACAAGCTAGACAGAGAAAGATGAAATAAAGGGAAAAAGATTATTATTATTTTTTTAGGATGAAGTCAGATAGTGACGAAAGCTGTCGCTTGAAAAATGTCAGGGAATCATTTGATTTTTGTCAGTGAATTTGATTTCTTTTCATTTTTATTTTAGTGTGGTTTTAGTGATTTTGTTGGATGTTTTTGTCCTTTTTATTATTGATATTATTATTAAATGAGTTCTGTTGGTACTTCAACTTAAACAGCTTAAAAAGTTCACATTCTCTCCATCTCTTTCTCTACCTCTCTCTCTAAATATATAAATGTTTTAAATTCTTTATATTTCAATATTTTCAGATTTTGTGTTCATTTTCATTAAAATTTAGTCATTTTGTTGGATGTTTTTATCATCATCATCATCATCATAATCATTATTATTCTTAAATATGTCTGTTTTATTATGAAAATCCAAAGCTATTATCTGTTGAATATTTGTCATTTTTTAGCGTTTTTGTTTATCATTTTTATTTAGTTTTTTAAAAAATTTTTATTTATGTCCTTATGGGTTTTGTTAATTTTAGTTTCAGTTTAAGTTTATTGTAGTACACCAAGTTGAACTGAATGAAAAGTGCAACTAGCTAATATAAAATACATGTGTTTTGATCAATTATTTAAAAAACAACATATTCTATATTATGTTGAATTTTTGATGAATATGACTTTCATTTCATAGGCAAACAGTTTTTAACATTTTATTTGTGTGGTGTGTTTGAAATCAACATGAGAAAATGAGTAAACGATGAGGAAATTTCATGCATAAAATATTAAATATTTTATTTCAGTTAAAGTTGATTTTATTTCAAGTACTTCAAATGTTTTCTTTTATGGTTCTACTTTTAGTTACACATAATAACTCCAAGCTCCAAGTCGTGCAGTGAAACCTCCAGCGGGAAAATCTAGTTCCTTCGTATTCAGTTGAGTGTTTCCATCAAAGCTCTTCTCTTCTCTCTCCCACACTGTGTTTGTTTTTCCAGCTGGATGCAGGAGTAGATCCCAGTAAAGCGCACAGATCTCCTCCTGTGCAGCCGGACTGATGGACGAGAGCTGATCTCAAAGCGCTTCTCCATCAGAAAGCTCTTAAAATGCATGGTATGTGCACAAACACGGCTCTCCGACCGCTCTTGCCCTTTGACCCAGGAAGCGCTCGCACCCCTCCGATCTCCTCCAGCCCTCCCCCTCGATCCTGACCCGCCTCGCAGACACAAAGCAGACGAGATGGCCTAGATTCAACCCTCAACACACATGAGAAAGCATTATATAAGCCTGCTTATCCGTGCACATTTATGCTGACAAGTGAAAACACACCACACACGCTCATATATGACTTTCATTTGATGGTCTTGCCTGTTTGACATGAGGGCGAGTAAATGATGATTGACTTTTCATTTTTAGGCGAACTGTTGCTTTAAATGTTGCAGATTTAGAGTCGTTTGTGGTTACAAGAAGGTTGCAAGGCTTTCTGGGTGAGTTCTTAAAAATAACAGAACAATTGGAATAAATAACTTTTTTGTCTCTTCTGTTCGCCACGGCTGCATTTATTTGATTAGAAATACAGGGAAAATTGTGAAATATTATTAGTATTTAAAACACCTGTTTTCTATGTGAATATCTGTTAAACTGTAATTTATTTCTGTGATGCGCAGCTGTATTTTCAGCATCATTACTCCAGTCTTCAGTGTCACATGATCTTCAGAAATCATTGTCAGTATGAATGCTTCATATTTTTGTGGAAAGCATTGAAAAGTTTGGGGTTAAAAAAAAGACTTTAATGTTTTTATTCAACATGTATGCATTAAATTGATCAGAAGTGCCAGTAAAGATTTATATTTCAAATAAATGCTGTTCTTTTGAACTTTCTGTTCATCTGTGAATCCTGAAAAATAAAATGTATCACGGTTTCCACAAAAATATTGTGCAGCACAACTGTTTTCAACATTGATAATAATCAGAAATGTTTCTCGAGCAGCAAATCAGCATATTAGAATGATTTCTGAAGATCATGTGACACTGAAGACTGCAGTAATGATGCTGAAAATACAGCTGCGCATCACAGAAATAAATTACAGTCTAACAGATATTCACATAGAAAACAGCTGTTTTAAATACTAATAATATTTCACATTTTTATAATCAAATAAATGCATCCTTGGTTAGCAGAAGAGACTCTTTCAAAAACATTAAAAATCAATAATGTAAATTAAAAGTCAAGACAGTTATTAAAAGAATCCCTTTAGTCTTCCAGAAGGGAAGTTCAGTCCAATTCAGCTCAGTTTCAGGAACAATTCCGTCCTCAAACTATAGCAAAATAAACACACACATACAATTAACATATAGACATTTCAACAACAGAGTCGAAGGCCCTCAAACACACCCTAAACACAGGATGTGGCCCCGGTGGGAGTAACTGTGTTCAAAGCACAAAACGGACAAAAGAAAACCAGGCCAGTGACGCGAAACATAAAGACGAGGTCAGAAGTTTAACTGTAGCCCCTCGATTCGGGTTTCAACCTGAAACCATGTGCTGCTGATGGGACTATTGTTCTGCAGTTGTGTAACACACACACACACACACACACACACACAAGATATATGAAACACACAGTGCACTCACAGTATATACAGGATTCATCCTGGAATTCATAACATAATTAGGGACTAATCCTATAGGATCCTGATGGGAATTTCCCAAAGAATACAAAGAGCAGGATCCTACTGGATCTGTAGGAAATTCCTACAGTATGTTTTGGGTTTGAAATAATGTGTTGCAGCTAAATAAAATCATAAAGATTTTATTTGTTTTGCATGTTTATACCATGCATATTATATAAATATTTATATGCAAATGAATGGTTACCATATTGATGTACCACTGTATTTATATTATTTATTGTTGTTAGATAACCAACAGTATCAGTTTGCATTATTGGCAATCATACAGCGGAATAATGATAATATACATATTTATTGATTGAAAAGGAAATCTTAACAAATTTCCTTATAGAATTATTCTACCCAATTTTTATTTTTATTTTTATAAAAACCCAAATTTTGTACAGTTTACCCTGTTGTTGTTGGATGTTCAGTAATATCACTATTTTACTGGCACTCGTATAATTATAATATTAAATATTAATTATATAGTCACATTGATTGCAAAGTAAATCCCCAGAAAATATGCCATAATAATTACAAAAAAGTCATTACCTTATTATACTGCTAAAATCATTTTTACCCAAATGGTGTTTTGAAATGTATACCATGCAACCAAATGACATATTCAAGTACCATTGTATTTATATTATTTACAAAAAGTGGTACATTTTACCCTGTTGTTGCTGGATGTCCATATAATAATAATAATATAAAATATTAGTCATAGAGTCATTTAGATTTAAAAGGAAATCCCCACAAATTATGCCATAAATTACCATAAAAACCTACATATTTTCTATCATATTCATGCACCAAATGATTTACAAACAAATTTACCCTGTTATTCACCCTGGATGTCCAACAATATCAGTTTATATAATTGGCAATAACGAAATAATAATGTTAAATATTAGTCATAGTAATTTTAGAAGGAAATCCCTACAAATAATGTCATAAATTGCAATAAAATCCTGCATATTTTTGAAACCATCCTCTTATTATGCTGCGAAACTCACTCTTACCCAGATCTGCCCTCACATTCTTTGTGTCCTGCACAGGTCTGCTTCTGAACGTGAATGACCTACTTTTGATATTTTTAACTTTTTAAACACAGAAACACTGTGAGGTGACAGATTGTTTACCTCTTTGGACACACCCCTATAGGGCAGGGGGCGTCGCCCGCTTTCGCAGTCAGTGGCGCGCCATTCGGCCAATCGCGATCGAGCTGTCAGGCGGCTCAGCCAATCGGCGGAGAGGGGGTCGCGAAGGCCGCTCGCGATTGGCCGTCAGCGGGGAGGGCGGGGTGAAGTAAAGCTGCGGTCCGTTTCGCTGGCTTGGTTTATCTGGAGAACGAAGAAGAAGAAGAAGAAGAAGAAGAGGAAACGTTCCGTTGGACTAAACGCGAGTTTAAACTGCGGCCTGAGAACGGATTCAGTGGATGGTTACGGAAACAAGTCCGACAAACTCGGGTAAAATGCGCTTAAATGACATTCTAGTGTTCGTAGTGTGGGAAAAGATCGCTGTAGTTGTCAGTTTTTTGCGAATATGTGGCTGTGGAGAGTGTATGCGAGTGTTTGTGTGTGTGTGTGTGTGTGTGTGTGGCAGATTGACATGCTAACACACAAAACAACACGATCACAAACATATTAGCTTCTGGAATACAACACGATGTTATTTCTGTATGTGTTTGGCTATATGGTGTGTAAATGATTGTGCGGATTGATTCTAGGCTCTCAGTGATTTATAGCGGTGTTTTGAAGTGCTGTTAATATGTGGTGTGTATGTGTAATATTGTGAGTGTTGCTGTCAAACTCGTAGTGTGTGTGTGTGTGTGTGTGTCTGTGTGTGTGTTTTAGAACACTGTGAATCCAGTGTAAACGGTGATGCCACATCAGGTACAGACACTTTCACTGGATCCAGTGCTTCTTTCATCAGCTTTTATTGTTTATATGTTTCTGTTGACTTGTTTACAGTGTTTTGTGTTGCATTTTCACTAGTTGCAGTGTTTCTCAGATCAGTTTAACTCCATACAGTGTTTCCATGTTGGTCAAGTTCAGTTTGTTGCTGGATTGTGAATGTTAAGATCTTATATTTCACAAATAGCATTAGTAAAAGGCTTATAGTGTTTGTTAGTATTTCTGTTTGGTCAGGTTACAGTAATGCATTAATAAATGCATTTATTTTCTGCATTGGTGTTAAATGAACAATTCAGTTTGTTGTGTTATGTTGTATTTTAGGATGGCATGTTTTACTGAATGCAGTTTACAGTATTTCTCTTTAGTCAGCTTACGCTAATTCCCCGATAAATGGATTTATTTCTGTTCGTTGTGTGCATTTTTCTGCATTGGTATTGAATTACCACATTTTCATCTGAATACTGAGGTCTTTATTTAAAGAATAAGATGTGCTTCAATTATTAAATACAAAGTAAATGAAAGAATGACATGTTAATGCAGAAATTACTTGCTTGTTTATTTAATTTGGGGAAAAAAGCATTGTGCTATTTAATATCAATCAATTAAATGTATTCACATAGGACTTTTGCAAACAAATCAATGCAGTTCAAAGTGCATCACATGCAACAATTGAACGTAAAATTGGCATAAATAGACCTATGAATAGACAAGTTAAAAATGTAAAATAAATCAATACGGATAAATCAATACAGTACAGACTAAATTACAGATGCACAATTTATTGGAAGCAATATCAGTATTGATCAGTTAGCATGTTTTAATTAAATACGTTGGTCTGGTTCTGATGATAATATCATATTTGTGAACTTATTTCTAATTCTTTTTTTAGAAGGTCACAAATATGAAGTTTTTAATTTTTCGATCTGTGCTTTAAAAACAACAGCTCACAAAGCACTATTGATTTGATCATTACAACATTTAATGGCCATAACGAAACAGTTATCAGCATCAGACCGAACGCTTTAGTCTTTTTATATAACAGTTTGTGAATATTGCATGATTTTACTGAAGAGTAATTCCATGTGTGTCCTTCAGCATAAATCCGTCTGTTATTACAGTGATTGTTAGTGGCATTATGAGTGTTATTGAATCTCTTCTTTCAGCTTTATTAGTTAGTTTTTGTCTGGATCAGACACTTGCCTAGGGCTCAGACGTACAAATAAGACCAGAAATACGAGACGTCTCTTTTTGGTTGTGATGGAGCAGGATTTCACGAGTGTTTTCTGCAATGCAAACGGTTGCATTTGTAGCAGTTATGATCAGATTCATAGTATGGTATTCCATCTGTTGCGTTGATATTTCTCAGTGCGACGGCCTGAAGTGTTGTATTTCAGTGGGAACGGCTGCAACGTCATGCATTTCTGTAGTCTTTAGAGGAAAAACTTGCATTAAAGAGCACTTAGAATGCATTGCGTTTTTACATATTACATTGCATATTTCAGAGCCGTTTGTAGGTGAAACAGCAGTGTGTCGCATGCCTTTTTTTTTTTCCTGTGCATGATCTGAGACCAACTTTGCCCTGTTTGGCGTCCACCGTGTTTGTTTTGTGTCAGAGCGTAGCCTTTGCTCCCTCTGATATAAACCTTTTATAGTCTTTTTAAAGGGAAAAAGTGCTGCATT